GCGAGCTAGCTGCAACAATGACGACGGAATTAACTATGATATAGCCTAAGTGCTACGAGTCTGTTCCAGAAAATAAAACAATTCGTTGATTGTAATTTCATGCAACTGCCGTAAATAACAGGGAGAAGTGGTGCGCAAGAGTCGAAACTTCTGAAGACGTCTTTGGTAAGAACAGTTGTTGATGATGGGCTTTTGCCGGTTTATCACCTAATAACCGCGGTCAATACTTTTCAGCTGGAAGTGATGTGATATTGACCACAACGCCAAAACAGATTTTTAAACAACGTCAAAAAATCCTATATTATCGACAAGCTGTTTATGTTACTGATGTGATTCTTTTTTTCTGAAACACGATTACATAGACGTCTTCATTTTTTAACCGCTGTTTAAGATTGCGACTCGTGAGCCGAATAGCTAAGTTTGATTCCCTCTTTGATCCATTCTTAGTATGGCTCCTCAAGAGCAATTTATTCAATTAAAACGTTTAAATGTCACTGATATACTCTTCAGTGTTAACAGAAATATTTAAAAGCATATCTTTAACATATGGGCTACCAGTGTACTACAAATATGACCTATGCTAAGGGATTTTTAGCTAAACTAAAGCATTGTCGTCAATAAATCAGTAGTGCTATAGGCAACTATAGCAATGTAATATGCAACCTGCTGCGTAGGGACAATATTTTTGTAAGTTTTATTTTCTTTGAATTCTCAACTGGAATGCTGCAGACAGACAGTGGAGGGATATGAAAGCAAAGGAAGTTCTTATTTGAACCGGTTCTATTTTAAATTCCAGCTTCCCTGTGTTCCGTAACATGCTTTGTTTGTAAAAATCCATAACGGCCAGGCATATTCATATGTATATCGTTTGTCAGAGCCATAGAAAAGCAGCATTAATGTACAGCTGGAGAGACGCACTAGTGCTTGAATCCAGTTCTGATGCATAAAAATGTGGGTTAATGAATGGGGGCCCTTTGTGTTTCGCAAGTCAGGTCATTATTTATTCAGAATGATGTATCTGAGTGTCACTCTAATTGCTACTCGGAGAAGCCAATTGCTCGTGGCGGAGCGCAGGAGCAGTTTCAGATGAGCAAACCCGGGACACTTTAAGGATTATGTTTCTTACGGATGCATTTTACTTAAGCTCCACTTGCTGTGTTGTGCCCTGTCTTAGAAGTGGCTTTAGCAGCATAGTTGTAGCTTAATTATCATTCGTCTTGATCTATGCTCATTGAGCTATGTAAAATGGGAAATTGATAGGGTTTTATATTTTAGGTTACGCTGTCCTGTTTTGAGCTGGTTCTTCCCTCTGGGACTGAAGACACTTCTGTTTTCATTCCTTTTGCATGATTTAACCCCATATCCCTGTGTCGCCTTATTGTCACTTGGAGGCAAGACGAAGCCAAGGACATACTACCTGTCATTCACACCCCTTGGTACTGTTTCAACTAGCATCCTGTTCCAGGACATTGTCTGAATTGGCTTCCTGTGTCTCATTAACAACAACTGATTAAAATTTAAAGGCAAGACTGTGATAGGGAAGTTATCAGAAAAAAAAACTTTCAAGTGCTTAAAAATAAACATGATCAGATTCTCCAGGCCACCTTTTGTCCCATTTCTTCGGTGTGAGCTGAATTACGTTGATGCTCGAAGTCTCTAGCAGTCTTTTAGTACCACTGTTTGGATTGTTTTGATTTGGTCAGAAAATGGAGCTTATAACCTAGAAACACAAGCCATGCAAGGATGTATTACACTGTTGTTAGAACTGCTACAAATGTCACATGGTGTTACAAATGTTTTTGTTGTTGTTGTTGTTTCATGTTATTGGTTAGGTTTTTTCCATTGGTGCTTTATTTTAGTAGAGTAGATTAACAAAGGTGAGGCTATTGCGTGCTCCGCCTGAGCAACTAGTGGTCAGTGATCCTCATCTCAAGTGTCCCATTACTATGCAGGCAGGAGATCTGAGGCCTGGTGTTTGGTTTTGCCACAGCTTGCGTGACAGGATGGTAAAGCACAGGGTGGAGGCGCGGAACACGGGTGCCAGCGCAGGCCAGGCCGGGTGTCACATCCCCAGCTTCCAAGACCTGACCCTCCTGGACGGCGAGCAGGAGGAGGAGGTGCCCGAGGTGACGCCCGCGGGGGAGCCCGCGGAACCCGGCGGCTTCCCCGACCGCGTCTACGTCCTCGCAGCCGCGATCTTCCAGAACGCTCATGTGGAGAAGCCCGCCGCCCACAGGCTGGTCAGCTACGGGAAGAGAACCGACGAGCCCCTGCCTGAAGCCAAGGAAGAGGCCACCCAGCGGGCTGCTTATGAGCTAACCTTCAACACCCTTAAATGTGAGTGGCTGAAAAGGGCTTTGTGTGTTCTCTGTCCACCTCCACTGAGCACGGGGGACCAAACCTCAGGGAGCAAATGGCATAGGATAACCTTTTCTTAAATGACCCCTCTAAGTGAGAACATGAAACAAGGATTATATTGTCTTGAAAATAATAGCTTTCTCAGTCCTCTGAGATGCAGCAAAAAAAAAAAAAAACGTTTTATGCTACTGAAGTTAATGCAACACAACAGGGATGGACTCTGTTCGTAACCATACATGCTTTTTTTATTTTGTTGTAAATATTTCTCTTTGACTTTTCTTTCCCCATGAGGGCTTGATGGCTGGCTTTGAATTTTCATAGCACGTTAACGGTGGGCAGGGGAATTTCTTTGTGATGCTACAAATCAATTTGCCCATAATCTGTTATCTGTGTGACCAATGATGAGACTGGGTGGTTAAACTCACTCAGGCGTTACTGCCGCGGCGATAAGCGAGGATATGAGACGTCTTCACCGCGGGGCGAAAAATAAATAGATTTCAGTCACCCTCTGCGAGAGGTGCATCGTGGGATACGCTCGCTCGGAATGTGATTTCTCCTCCCACGGCATTTAAATTGGCACAACGTTTCCTGAAAAGATAACGCCATGCTCAAAATTCTACTGCCTCTGTCATAAAGCACTGATTTGTCACCATCTTCCCAGTGAAAATGCACCAGGTAGGGAACGGCGCTGTCATGGACATGCTCCTCCATTAGGAAGCCGTTCTCACTCTCCTGTCGCCATGGCCGCGCTGATGGACGTTCTGTTTTTGTGCGCGTGTGGCTTTCATCTGGAGCATCTGTGGTGAAAAAGCAACAAGCTGCCGGACAGATTAAACAGACTCGCTTATGTATTCGGTCTGTTGTTCCAGCCAGAATGTCTGTACGCGTATTGAAAATAAAACTGAACAGGCAGCAATTCTTCTTTGAGCGCAGCCACTGGTGCGGGTAGAATTGGTACACCTGTGCCAGCAGGCCAAACTGGCAGCGGAAGCGAACAATGAGATCCGGTGGCCATTACAGTTTAATTGCTCTTGCTTATTATACTGCTAGCGCAGTCCTGTGCTTGGAAATGGGAAATGGGATATTCCTCAGCCAGCAGTGGTGAAACTCAAGTGGAATAAATATACAATTAGCTTCAACCCCTGATAGCACTTCTGCTTAAGAAAGCGGACATTCTGTGGCTAATGGCCCAAGAGGACTGCTGAGAATTCTTATGAATATTTTACTGTGCTTATAGCTCTGTTATATGGTTTGCGGTGATGATGCGTGTCTGTAACACATTACGTCAGCCTCCGTGAGGGGAATCGTTAGACAAAGGAGAGTCAATTGCCTGAAACACATTGATAAAGGTGTGTTACAGATGGAAGACGTGCTCTTCCACAGAGACGTCGCATTTGGTGGGGTTTCAAACCGTCAGTTGGAGAAATTCTTCGCCTTTTCTACTTGAAGTTGTGGAGTTGGTCGTAGAGTGTGTCACATATTGCTTTTTTCTTCCTGATCAGTTTCCTGTGATGATAAAAGCATTAATACAGTTGCGATATACAGTATAACCTTTCAGTTTTCCCCAAGCTAATGCTGGAGAAATTTGACCTTCAGTGCTCCTTCGAAATTCATTCCCATGTGGACATGGTAGGCAGGCTATTGCAATATCACACCTTGTGGGATATGAAGCGTTTGCCTTTGCCTGATTATTTCTATATTTGCATTTTTGTAGTTGGGGGATGGGGGAGATGTGCTTAGAATAACTAGCAGACATATTTGTCAATCTCAGGTCATTTTGACATAATTTCCCTTTTGAACATTTCTGATGATTTGCATAGATATTAAGCCTTCTATGAGAGCGTTTGAAAATGTATGTATACTGACGCTCAAGATGTCGCAGGGCAGAGGCTTCTGATTAGACACACATACGATGCTTGAAACCTTTTATGTTTTCGAGTCCAGCTATCTCTCAGATTAATTTCCTTGCAGGACTGGAGAAGCAGCAAAACAAATGAGGGAGCAGAAAAAAAAAGTCAAAGGAAAACAAAGAGTGGAATGAAATTCCGTGTTTTCTTCTTTTATCCAGGGAACGCGCCGAGACCTGACCGAGATCGGCGGTGTTCATCGAAGTTAGTGCTGCTTATGATGACGGATTTATGGCATCCGCTCTGCAGATATATCGGAGAATGTTGAGAGATTATACTGCAGTATCCGCCCTCACCATAAACCAAATCAATTTGCCTCAATTGTAGTCTCTTTTGATCATGGACTGCTTCCATTAGAGGCGGCTTATTCCTCCTTCTCCTGCTGTGGTTGTCGCACATCCATTCTCTGTTGTACTTTGCTTCAGGAGATAAAAAGGAAATAATTGTATATACTGTGTATTTGAATGGGTGTGTGTGTTTTTATTTTTTGCTCATATTGAGTTGCCATGTATTCATGAGGTGGAGAAGCAGTGGTGGCTGAGACCAGCTGAAACCAGTGAGTCTGCAGGGCTGGAACTCAGAAGGAGCACCCACAGCTGTGAGCACAAGAAAGCATTTGATCACATTACATTGCTCCTATGCAGAGTGACGGACATAGGTTACAGTTTTATCCATTTTTACAGCTGGACATTGGAGGCAATTGTGAGATAAGTACCTTGCCCAAGGGTACAGCAGTGCCCCAGTGGGGAATCGAACCAGCTACCTTGTGGTTACGTACCACATTCTTTACCACTATGCCACCATGTGCACTGTTATGATTAAGTGGAGTAGTTTAGATGAGATGCCTTGCTCGCCGTTGTGGTGGTAATCACTGCCTTTTATTGCGTTTTATTCGCTAATGTTGTGAATAATGTTGTCGGAGCCGGACCTCTGCTCTTCAGAGTGTGCGTGATGATTCTGAGGTCTCTGTGCCTGGTCCAGGGGAGCGGAGCGCGCGGGAGTCGTGTCACTGAAGCTGTCTGAGACGCACGGGTGCAGTGCCATGTCTCTGTCAAAGCCTGCCTTCACACTGACAGGCAGTCAGCAGGCTCCGGTCTGTCCCCACAGATTAGTCCTGAATCATATGAGAACAGCTTCTGGACGTGTAGGAACATATGCGCACACTCTCTCTCTCTCCCTCACATGTCACACACACACACACACACACACACACTCTCTCTCTCTCCTTCACATGTCTCACACACACACACACACACACACACACACACACACACACAGACACACACACACACACAGAACGTTCTGTCTTCCATACTGTATTGTCTACGAACGCTATTCTTGGCAGTTTCAAATATCATAACAGACACAACGCAGGCCTGTTTTATTAATTAACTATAGACATTAAAAATGATGTGCAGTTGTTAGAAATGTAATCAATTATCAAAACTGTAGCACTGCAGTTCAAAGTGATTCCAAGAGCAGGTCGCAGAATAATGAAACCGACTATCGATTTTCACATTTTGTTAAGAGAGAATTGTATACACCAGATCATTTCAGTGTTCTCTGTAATGGTCATTGTAATGTGAAAGGAATAGTTTTTTCTTTTAGTGAAGAGACCTATGTAAAAACTGACCCACCAGCCTAGAAGCCCAGTTACAACTCATCAACCAGATTTCTGTTTCCTTTACATTTCGAAGGAGTCATTTTTACTTCCGTCCTATGATTGATAGCCAACATTGCTGTTTTTTTGTGTGGTCTCTGTCTCTATGAATTGTGAAGACAATATCAAGTGTCAGAGAGGATTTAATACCCCAGGGGCCCAAACGTTATTATAGATGGACAGTTTGCCAATTTCATTAGTATTTAGTGTCCTATAAGAGGAAATCAAATTAAGCCACAGATGATGTTGACTCTAAGCTATCCATCCAAGTCTGGTAATAACAGAATATTGGCAACAGAGGGGATTCCAGCAGAAGCTGCTTTATAAATGTAATGAAGCTATTAATCCTTTCACATAGGTGCCCTGTGGTTAACAATACTGGGTTGTCCTTTGGTAATATCATTCAATTGTTTTACTCATAATGTATAAATATGATGTCTATAGTTTGATTTATTTATTAATAATGATCTCTGTGGAAGCAAATTATTTAGTTGTGTGTGTGTGAATATATGCTGCATATATTTCATATTGAAACCCTTACATAGTTTCTTCTTCCTGAATGTGTCATAGCTGTTTGTGTTGTAAAATGTAATCCAGTGATTGATTAATCCTTTCATTTCATCTTATATTCACTATTTTTACACCCCTTTTTTTTGGTTTTTAATACATGCTTGTCTTACTCTTTGCAGACCAGGATCTTCTGGAAGACATCATGGTTGACAGCTGTTTTCATGTCTCTCAGCCACTGGTGAGTTCTCAAATATTCGCCAAACGAGGGACACAATTTTGGGGCGCACTGTTACATTCCTGTTATGGAAACGGAGGGCAGCCTGCCTCACACCCATGTCAGTACTTCCATTGTGACTGGCATTCAGTCGCCTCTCTGTAATGGCAGCTAGTGACATGTTAGGCAGCGCTGGCTGTTCATCCTCGGGGGGGGGGGCTGAGCGACTGTTATGTGTCATGGCTTCGCTCCCTTTCGTGAATAATCGCAGGATTAAGCCAAACCCTTTCGACCCAAAAAAGGCAAATCACAAAGTGCAGGGACATCGCTATCTGCAGGTGCCCCCGTTTCAAGTGGAGTCAAATGCCATCAAGTGAAACAGACTCTGACAGGGGGCAGATTTAACGCTCGTGTCGAGTGGGTGTCCCGGATACACTTTTGGGGGCAGAGGGAACTAATTGATTAAAGGTTAACCTGAACGTTCAAAGGCCAGACTTTTTTAAAAAAAATTTCAGCCCCTGCTTTGAATTCAGCGCGATATGTCATGCTCGGTGGCAAAGATCGAGAGGTGTTGCGTGCGAAGACTTGCGTGGGGGAGCATGCTGGGAGTGCGAAATGAGCTGTTTTTTTCTGTGTGGTTGATGTCCGTGTGCGTTCAGCTCCAGCCTGGCCGTGCGTACCGAGACCAGCGAGGCCGAGCGTGTAGCGAGGGCAGCTGTAACGACTTGCGAACGCCGGCGGATCTCGGCGCAAACAGCTCTGAGCAGGAAAATACAGATTCGTCGCACGTTTCACTGTAGAACCTGTGGGAGAGAAACAATACAGAACCTCACACTCTGTCAGCAAAAAGCAAAAGCAACAGCCTTAATTGCTTCCCTCATGTAAATGTTTGCGTTTGCTGGATTAAACATAATGAATCCATATGGCAGGGAGAGGTGGGAGGGATGTTAATGGCACAATATATGCTACCAGTATGTAGCCCATTAAAGACGCCCTAGATGGGCATGCAGATTTATGACCTGTGTCCAGACAGCTTTGATATGTGTCCAGCTTTCAGATGGCTCACTGGTTTATGATTTAACAGTCTTTGAACAGTGGTGCATGTAGGACAGGATGCATAACAGGTGCGGGGGGCATTGACTCGTCACGCAGTTCTGGCGTTGTGAAGGTAATCATTGGGTAACAGATACTATTATGACCTTGAGATAAGGCTCATTGAAGTGTGGTGGACAAATCTAATACCAGAAATAAACTGTAGATTTACCGGTACAGTGGAGTAGTTCAACACGCATGTGGTCTATGCCTAATTCACTCACATCAAAAATTTGTGGACCATTAAAGTTGACCGTGGGTCAGATTTATTAAAATAACTTTCAGCCTTCAGAAAATAACGGACAGCTAAAGGCCAAGCTGTGTGCATTAAAATCAGTTATTCAGCAAAGGCCAACCTCAGCTGGAGTACAGACCAACCACAGTTATATTGTGTTGGACCACAAAGGGATTGGGGAATGTTCAACAGCAATACAATACAGAGTATCAGTATCAGTATCAGCAGTTGCTTCCCGACCGGTCATTGGTTTATAGTTCAAGATGTTGGCGTCAGACTGAGGTGGTGTGTCGTCCCCGTGCTGTCAGTTTTGATGAAATCAGAACCTCCCCCAGCCTGTGATCCTTAGGTGCCTCAGGACTTGGACTCCCGTCCAGAGATGCGGTCTCACCTCTGAGGAGTGAGCTGCTTCTCTTGTGTAAGAACCCTTTGTGAGGCAATTTTTTTTTTTTTTTTTTTTTGTATGGAGCTGCATTTTCAAAGAGACTCTGGGAGAAGTGCTTTGCAGCAGAACAGAGCCGTATCTGTAAATGGAAACATCAGTGGTACGAGGAGCACAGCAGTGCATCTGGCTCTGTGACGGACAAGTGAAGAACGGAGAGAAAGCTGTTTTGGTGGGAGTGAGGCGCTGGCTGGTGTGTGTCCGCTTTCGCCTCCTGCCGTGCCAAGGAGGAGTGTCTCACCAACCGGAATGGCTTCATGATGCGCCTGCACGGTGTCCTGTACGCGCTCGCCGACACCTGTGTGAATTACGGCCCTGGTGAAAAATGAATAGAGCTCGCCGCGGCGGACGACAGGTCGTTATTCTACATCCTGCAAATAGCACAATAACCCCGGACACAATGAAGCGCTCTGTAGAATTCTCTCTGCTCTCACTGGTCCAGAACCTTGAATCACAGCGTGAGCGACATCACAGTGAGAGAGAAACTGAGAGAGATAAAGAGGGAGAAACAGAAAGGGGGAGAGAAGGGAGAGGGAGAGGGGGAGAGAGAGAAAAAGAAAGAAACAGGAGAATGGGGAGTGGAACAGAGAGGGAGAAAGAGATTGGTGAATAAGGATTGTACATTGTTGTGCTGTAGTGCAGCTGAAATAAGAAAATAATAAAAAGAACCTGAATACAGTCATGAGTAGATGACAGAAGAATTCAAACAAAGACAGGTATGTGAGTATGAGTGGATCTACCACGGAGACTTAGGATGGAATGAAATCAAAATTGTGTGTGGGGTTTTTTTGTTACAGAAGAATTCAAGAAAGAAAATGTCAAAAATACAGGGGAGAGCCAAATATTTTTCCAAATGTGATGGTGCCAACCTCACACCAAAACACACATACATGTATGCGCACACACACACACACACACACACACACACACACGCACGCTCACTCATTTAGAATGGTCTATGGACTGTTGAGCCTGCCTCAGGAATTTCTTCAAGATCCAAGATTTACACTGATAGTTGACAGACACGTTTCCCTGAAACTAAATGGTCCCTGACTCGAGGGAATTATAATAGATATGAGCCTAACTCTCCCTGGCTCCCCACTGTGCCTCGGTCTCTTAGCTACACTGACCTTAACTGATGTCATTTGAGGAAGACAGATCCATTTAAGTACACGTGTTTAAGGGCTTTGGGAAATGAGGAGGACAGCCGGGTGACCTCACAGGAAGGCTCTACATTAGATAAATGATTCCAGCGGTTTAAGAGAAATGAATTGTGGGTGGAATGAATGATGGATTCCATCTGCTAAGTCACTGCATTCATGCCTTTCCTACAGAGGGCTTTTCATCGGCTCTGTAATAGGCACGCCTCTCTGTCCCTCATTCTTTATACTCCAGGCCTCTGCAGCAAAGCCGATGACCATGCGAGTCATTTTTAAACTCTTCTTCGGCAGCTCTTTTCTCATGCGCAGGTGCTTATCTGCAAAGAACACTGACTCGTTTAGCGAGTGCTTTCGTCTCCTCACTGGGGTGTGTGTCGTAGCCATGAGGATACACTGCCTCTCTCACGAGCTTAGCAACAGCCCTGTTCTGCCCGGGGACATTGTTGCCAAGCGACCACAGGTAGTCAGCACGATAAGTCCCAGGCTGCGAGCTCA